ACCCATCCTCTCGCAATAGATAGGTGACATCAAGTAGGTCATCCGTGTGAACAATGGTTGTGCTAGGGTCGAGATTCAATCTGACGTACTCCACTAAATCGCAGAGCTCTTCGTATAGCCTCACTGCGATGGAAATAATGGCGACACCAGCAGGTTGATCTTTCCATCATATGAGAAGTATCTTTAGAGACAATTGGACTTTGCAATGGCAGGACATCTAGTAGCAAAGCTACAAAGTAGTAGCAAATCCTTTGGGAATTCGTCTTTGATCCAGCTCAAAACTTTCTCCAACGACAACGACTTTCTCCACGGACAGATCTAACACTTCGTAAGTACGATAACCGACCTTTTTCTCTTGTTCATGGCACAGAGTTAGGGTTCGTGGACAATTTTGCATCCCATTCTCAATGTCATTCATGTTGCGAAAGCCGCTGCCCCACTGCCCCACACGGCGTGCTCCAGAGGAATACTTTCTTTCAATGCAGGTTACGAAGCCATGATTAAATTAATTTTTCCATACATGTTAGGATGGAGAGCAGTAATTCAAGCCCCATTGAAAACTGTTTAATATATCTACGAAGTTCAGGGCTGCAAGCCGACATTACTCGAGTTTCTCAAACAAAAATCAAATCATTGTCTTGTCCTTGGTCTTTCCATTTCTTTTCAAGTTTTGGTGAACTGTTACATTTTTCATTATTCACACGAAATAAATTCACTCCCAAAAGTGACAGTTCCTAAGCCTGCTCGCAGCCATTTTTAAATTGCACCCCTTTACTTTATGGGGCACTTAGGACCGTTTCAACCGTAATTAACTGTTCCCTCAGATGGAAGTCCCTAAACCAAGGGAGTCGATCCTTCAAGTTGCCCATATATCCACAATCCTTCCGTTTTCTCGGCCAAACAATCTCCCTTAAAACTTTAAAAAGGGAAACTATGGGGGCGCTTTTTATGCTAATGACTCAGTAGAAATTATCACTTGAATCAGTGGACTGCACCCTTGTATGCGACTTCTCATAAATTTTGTAGTCAGTTTTTGGGTCCACTGCCAGTGAAATTGATAACGCTCATATTCTTTGCCCGCCAAATGAATACAAGAGGGGCGTACCGTTGTTCTCGTGCAGACTGTACGGGACCTGGGAAGGGCAACAGAGGACATTGGTCGAATAGTTTCTCAAACTGGAGTTTACTTGAGAATTAATTCACGAAATGTCTTAATTGTAAAACAAAATGATTTTTCACCAGAAAATTAATCGGACGGAGATATTTTTTTGTGAAAATCATATTAATCGTCGAAGACACAATGAAGATATAAACAGCCTTTAATAGATGCTCCTGATCAGTTTTAAAATGAATTGAATTCTTCAACTTGAAGAATTCTAGCTTTCTAAGTTTATAGAGGGAACAGGTACCAGCTCCAAGTATTCATGATCAACTTACTCATAATTCAGAACTAGAAGTTGGTATGGGTCACATCGATACCGAGCAAGTTTCGAAATCGGGAGAAAAAAATCGGGAAAAGGTCCCACGCATGCAGTGCACTCCAACATTATTGTTGTCATATCTGCATGACCCATATCTAACATAGCATCGGACCATCTGATCGACCTTACACAACGCTGGCGCCTAGTGACCTTTGTCTAGCTGCTGCCGTCAGCTCTCTATGTACGTAAGCAATGGTTACCGGTAATTGTGGAACACTTTACAATTTCTTCATGCTACAAAAATAAATAAGTGAACAGCACCACTTTGTACGATTGTCTGTGAACTTTGAAGTTCACTTACTGCGTCAGTCACGAGTAAATGAATCAGAGTGACAATCATAAAGAATATGTATACGCAATAGAAGAGCACATAAATTCGATTAAAAAAGAGTAGGCCTAATCTTCCTCCAAAATCTACAGCTATTGGTGTCGATGCTGATGTATCGAAGATGGTGTATTTCCAACTTTCTTTAGCTTACGATCAATTAAATTCAGCTTTATTATCCCAGACGGCATATTCCATTCGGTCATTCACATCAAAACAAGTTATGAAAAAGTTAAACATTTACATGTACAAGTAAATGTTGCGTATAAAACAGGGAAATATAACAAAACTATGACTAAATTTCAATCAATAAGGGGCAAAAAAACATGGAGAACGTGTGAAAGTCCATGTGTGAAACTCTGCAAAATAGCTTTGACATGGCAGGGAACCACTGAAAAACGTGAAGTGCAATCCCACTATAGGCCTACTCTCGTCTGGAGAAGCACGCAATTTGCATCTATACGTACAGCAGTATCTTTTTGAAGGCTTAAATTACTATTACTGGGCAGGGCTAATCATCATTAGTCGTGTCCGTCCAACCTGCATGCTGTAAAACTCATTGCACTCATTTGCATATACGGTCTCGTTTTGTAAACACATGGTTCTTCTCTGAGGTTTGTAGCGGTTGATGGATTGTAGACCTTGACGTGTACGCCTTGGCTGTGATCGCTGGTTCCTTTCAGTTATCAGCTCCTCCCCCCCACCCCACCCCCCGCGCAGAATCCTGGCTACGCCGCTAGTTTCTGCTCAGCTCAAGAATGGTGAACCAGTTTACTACAACTCGAAATAAAACTTGAATAGGGCCAAATCCTTTCTCTCCTGCTTAAACTAATTATTAGTAACTTTAAATAGGCAGATTGGCGAATGTGGAACGTCATTATCACCAACATCAAAAGATGAAACTTCATTATATTTTTATTGATTAATCAAAAACCCTCATTTGATTTAAAAACATAATATGCCTAAGTACACATGAATTAGGCGTTCATATAGGAGTTGCATACTGCAATCAATATATTTCTCTGGTCAACTTATTTCGTTTTATAAACCCAATTAAGTGCTGTGAGTGGCTAGCAAACTTAAAAGACATCTCTCAGGGTTTGTATGGGCTACCCAAAGTTTGTGGACAAATCTCCTTTGATATGCGATTTTCCTCCAAACTGTACTTTTGCCCCATTACTGTTAAAAGAGAGGGCAACATTTTCACTTAGAATTTAGTAGTAATATGGTTTACATGCACTGGTAGGAAATACATACAATAAAAAATAAATATAGCGAAGCGATGGTAACAACCTCGTAAGTCTATCTGACGAAACTTCACCCTGCCAAATTTTTAAAGCCACAAATACGGGCGATTCACAGGAGTGCGCCCCGAAGAGTTTGCAACGCGTTGACCAATCACAGTGTGCAAAATCTGTCGACCCGATGCGCGTTTAGAAAGCGTCGACAGATTTCGTGCACTGTGATTGGTCAACGCGTTGCAAACACTTGGAGGCGCACCACTGTGAATCGATCGTCTTAAATTCAAAATGTTTTGGGGCAAAATCTCGGAGGGGAGCACGACGTTCGACTCGGATGAGAGACACTATAAATTATTGTTTGTGTTCCACTAGCGGATCCAGAATTTACGAAATGAAGATGGAAACCGAACAATCGAATGAAGCAATAGTTTCTCGTTATCTGGTCAAGTTTGTATCTGTCAAATGGGGCATACGTCGGCTCATGTGATTCTACCTCCATGGTCGGCTGAACCCCGACCCCGCGACGACGATGTCCGGCGAGCATTAATTTTGTTTTACACAGCACGCTGGGGTGAAAAGACTTGAATGAAGGCTAATATGTGGGGGGGTGATTTTTTTTCAAAGGAGATATTTCCACCACTGATTTCTATAATAAAATCTTTCCACAAGAGAAGCGCCCTCAGGGTGTGAAAAATAGTCTCCTCTCAAAACCGACAACTTTTATAACTCTTGTGTAACAGAAAAAGAGTTCAGTGACAGCCAATGTGCACCCTTTTAACATTTTGATTCATTGTGTCACAACATGATGAAATGGGCCCAACCCATACATGTCATCGACGTTCACCCATCAATGGTCTCTGGTTTTTTTCTCTCTGAGTTAAATTCAACGGAAAACAATCATCGATGGGATTCCCCAGAATACGATCTTCTCATTGGCTACATTTACTCACGTGGCCTTTATACCCAATCAGCAAACGATTCAGTACAGGGGATTCCCCAGCTTGGCCGGCGCGGTGAATGCAGGATACGTTGCGAAGATCGACAGTTTTGTACAAGGAATTCAGCGTGACAGACGTGCTCATTTCTGGTAGCAAACTGCGTCGTTTGTAAGGAAATCTGAGTGATTTTGTGCTTTTTATATTATATTGCTGACAACTGCCTGGTCTTCAAAGTTAAACGAACAGAACGTACGGCTGCTTACCATTAACTCACAGCGGCCATTTTGCTTGTTTCGTTTCTCTGGCGTCCAGCTTACAAATTGTCCTGAAAATGTCTCTACCGTGTGATGTTGAGACAGATTGTGCTATGGAAAGTCCGGCTGAAGCCTCTAGTAAAATGAAGAATCTACCATTCGACCCTAAATACCGACACCTGTCTGGAGTGGGGACAAGCGACAGGTTTGACTCACACGACTCGGGCATTGACTCGTACCGCTCTGTGGATTCTTCGTTTTGTTTCAGTACTGACTCCGGGCGTACAGAAAGCCCTCTTACATCGATAAATGAACACGAATCCCCACTCTCACAACGACTGGGCAATCTTCACATTTCGTCATCATTAGAGAGGTGCAAGGATCAGGAATCACGGACAGATACTAAGCTAAACACAGCAGTAGATGACGAAGCTTTTGTCGATAGCCCAGCAACCGGGGAAGGGATCAGTCACCTCAGTGGTGTAGAAGCCTCAACGGTAGTTCCAACGGATGAAACAGACCGTTCCGGCCACGGTCGGTATCTCACAGATGATGCCTATGATCAGGACCAGGAAGGAGATACGTAAGTTAAATCTTAGCATTTTGTTCAGTACGTGTAGGCCTATGTGAAAATTTTGGAAAGATGGAACTTTTAAGGAGTCAGGAACAGAGATTTACAATTTTCCAATTAGCAAACTAAATTGTATCAATGTTACATTTTTATATCTACCTCGCTTTAATGATTAAGCCAGACATGACAGAACTTGTTGAATTTTTATTGTTGTAAGTGCATCATTTCTAGGTTTTTCTCCTGTTGCCAAGTCAGTTAGTTTTAGATCTGTAAACCTTCAGCCACATTGTTGACTTGCATGCGAAGGGGAAAAAACCCAGGGATTTCCCCATGCCACACACGCAGTTCTCAATAAATGGGATGTGGTGTTGTGTAGAACTGCCATTTGTCACAATGAGATTTATGTGGGCGGTACTTCCAATGTATGCGCATTATTAATCATGTTCATGCACGGTACAGCTAGATGATTTCAAAGCACTTGTAATTTTCAAGTCATGAAAAAGAGTTTGCTCTTAAATGGACTCGGCTAAAAGTTGCATTTCATTTTATAAGTCATTTTTACAACCCATGTAGACCAATAAACCTGTGAAGGGACAAGAGTTCCATGTTACACCAGTTGGTACACTGAGCACAAATCCTATAAGACTGGTCAGAAAAATTGTTTTTCCGAGTAAATACGTCAACATTTTTGCTGCCAAATTTGACTTTATGGGACATTTTTGTTGCCTCCAGATGGCTAACAGGTCATTACAGGGAAAAATTGTTGGCATCTGTACATGGATTTCTTTCCGTGTAATGTTATGAAATGTACGTGTCATTGAAAGTGAAGGTTGAATTTGTAATTCTGTTTATGTCCCTGGATGTGTCTAAAAGTGAAACAGTAGATTGACAATTTAATCGAAAGTGATCAGACATCTCCCTGGAAACTGAACAATAGGAAATTCCACAGGAATTCCCGGAGAGAACCTAACATTTTTTTCTAAAGTTTAAACTGGTGAACTTACTGGATGGAAGTTTTCACTGAGAAATTCATTTCACGTACACTATGTTGGGGGATTGGGCTAGAACAGAGTTACACAATTAAAACTCTATAAGGCACAAAACTTTGCATGTTCCCTTTTATGTACCATAAAAATGTACCATAAAATGTGATGAAAGTTGAGGCATGTAGGAAACAACTTGGAAGTCTTTGGGACATTGATTTTGATATTTTTGTGAATTATTTTATCACAATAGTAAGCTGTATTTGCTGTTTTCAGTGATTGCAGTGTCCACGAAATGAGTGAGCATACATGTTACATGTTGTAGCATACACATGCACCTCTTGTACTAATGCACTGCTGTCCACATTAGTTTCTCTTGTACCTTAGCAAGTTACCACACATTACATGCTGTACATGTTATATGTTGTAGCATACACATGCACCTCTTGTACTAATGCACTGCTGTCCACGTTAGTTTCTCATGTACCTTAGCAAGTTACCACACATTACATGCTGTACATGTACATGTATGTATGATATAAAAACAAAGTAACAAGTTCACTTAATGTGATGGTAAGCTTTAAATTCTACATGTATATCCCAGAAAATATAGGCATTTCTTGCCAAAGTATTTACATGTATAAGGGAAAAGGGACTTTAAATGCGACTCCTTTTTCCCCGGATGAAAATTCAGAAACTTAGACCTTCTCATTCAACTTTATAAAAATGACAAGGCTTACTGAAGTAACATGGAGAGCTGATTTAGGGTCCACTGGAAGATCATGGTCTCTTTTCCAAACAGGAACAAAAAACACATCAATTTTCTGATCTATTTATTTTCCCTTCCTTAAAGAGCATATTAAAAGCCTGGGGGGGCCTTAAAAGGTTACACCCCCCCAAGAGAAATGGGTGTGGATCTGTCTTGGAGTTGTGTGCTTCAATGAATATTCGGATTATAATGCTCAAACAAATTTAATAAAGTTTTTCTATTTGTGAATAGGCCACTTCATCTTGCAATCATCCATCAGAAGGAAGACATAGCTGTGAATTTCATCAGATTAACATTGGACCCTGACTTGTTGAACATCAGAAATGATTTGGCACAGGTATGTCCGGCATGATATTCTCTTGTTAACAGTCATTGTCAGTATGTTTTAATTTGAAAGCAGACTCACCAGATTTACCACTCCAGAGTTTGCCTAAATGAAAGGCGTAAGGGACCTCATAGTAAAATCATTCAGAACTAATTAACTTGAACCTTGTTTGGCCTATTTTTTTCTTCACAGACTCCTCTGCATCTGAGTGTGTTGACTAGACAGCCGGTAATCTGCCGGGCGCTCATTCTTGCGGGAGCACAGGTAGATTCCATTGATCGCAATGGTGACACTCCTCTCCATATCGCTTGCAAGCTGTCCGATGATGGATGCATCCGAGCGCTCACCGAAAGAATCTCACCACTGGAGTTGCAGAAAGGGATGGTCCAGCACACTGCAGCCAGGGTACAGCAACTACCACAGGATTTGGAACTGAGAAACTTTGAAGGCAAGTTCTTTCTTGTTCCTTTCAATAACTTGACTTGAAAGTGGATCATTTTCAGGGTTCCAGCCAGTGGAGGTTAAAATAATAGCCAAGATTTGGCCAAAAGCACATTTTTTAGCCATTTTGGGTTTTTGTTCGCAATGCAGGGTACATTTAAAGTCCACCTTTTTCCTGACCCCTTGCTCAAGATTAAAATCAACGTTTGTAGATACTCACTGTGGTGTGATGGGCGGGGATGGGGCCACCTCCTTAGTAACCCTGCACCATTTAGGATGAGCACCCCCACAAATCAAAGTCATGTGATTTCATGTTACTTGTCCAAGCTGCTACAAAAAAAACCCAGAAATCTTGCAAAGATTTCTACATGTAGATGCAACCAATTCATTTGATTCAGTTTTAGGGAAATTTGTAATACCAGTGTACTGCAATGGGTCTGTAATTTCCAGACAGGATGTACATTGTAAAAAAGCTTTAACAACACATGTAGCTGTTTGGAGGAAACAGCAGTAGATCCGACAATAACTGGATGTCACACTTCCTTTTTGGGTGGATCACTTACAATATGAACAGTTAACAGGTTACTGGAGTTGAAGGTGAGGAGCTGCCGCTAGGTCCAGTTTGACTTGGGGCTTGCTCACCCTGGGGATTTTCTTCTGTGGGGCAAGTGTTGAAGGATATTTACACTGATTTGGAGAGTCCCTGGGAATTCACCCTGAATTTTCTGGAACATGCAGCAAAAGATATCACTGACACATTGTTTCTCAGGAGTGGAAATCCCCTAACAGGAGACATGTTCAGTTGAACACCTTTGTTTCAAGGGATGACGCTTGCATGAAAATTCCCTAATAATTGTGCATGCACGTTATAAGTTGTATGATGGCTACATCAACTACTGGAAATTCATCCATGAATATGATAGTTTTGTGCATTGTTTCTTTATCCAAAGTACACACTACAGACATCTAAAAGTTGTTATTCGTTACATTGCTTAAGGTCAAGCTGTGCAGTAAAATACTATATTGTTGTGGTATCAGTGCAAGAAGGTCGCAACTTGGGTTTGTTTTGTACATGAACTATGACCTTGTTGCACTGATGTGGCCTTTTGTTTTTTATTTTACAAGTAGCCTCAGTACTGGATGTTGATATTTCATGCTCACCAGTGCATTTTACTGGGCTATACATAGTCTTAGAAATGTTTTATTACTTTAATAACCCCTAATCTCCAACCATCTGTCTCCTTTCAGTGGACTTTATTTTTCTACCATCAAACTCTTGAAATTCAAATTTCATGTACTTGTTTCTTGGGAGTTCAGACATTCCTGAGTCTGCCTGTAGGTTTAATAATGAAGTTAGCTACATGTATGCTGGTGTTTTTGAAAGCATAACTGGACACAGCTCAACGCTTCAAGACCCTGGGAAGACCTTTAAACAAAAGAATTTTGTATTGCAAAACAAGAAAAATCCCCTTGGAAAGCCCCATGTAGGAACCTTGGAAAAACCCATGCATTGTAATAGGAACAACTGATACCACAACAAAAAGCAGTGGTGTATACTTAACAAACATCTGGCATTCTGCCCAGTTGGTTCAAAGGTCAACTGTTGAATAAGCTAAAGATATTAACAGCATAGGGGAATCCCCTGTCAGACTACCCAACTAAAAAGAAGCGGATTTTAGTCAGAAAAACCCCGGGAGCATAATTGGGTTCACTTATTTATGATTTTTTAGTTCCCAGATGAAATAAAAAATACGAGGAAGTTTTATAGACTACATGTAGATACTAACGAGTGAGTGGTCTGTAAATTAATTTTGTTAGTATTTTGTTACATCTGATTGTTCCATGCTACTTGTACATGTATCCGTGATATTTGTCTGATTCAAATGAAACTTCAATGAATACTACAATAATATATGAACCTTGGTGCATTTTATGAACTCACTACATGTTTTAGCTGTCATCTCCAAGTTGTTTTGGAAATGGCTAGCTAGGGTTGCAGGATTCCTAGGAAATATGGATACAGCAAATTTCCCTGGGTTTGTTTTAGAGCTTTTGCCAGAATGTTGGGATTACTCAAGTTGGAGAGGGATTTTAGAGCTGTTGATCTTATTGAGGTTTCCCAGCAGCTTACTTGATGCTGCAAAAAAAATGTGCTTTTAATTCAAAATTTGGCAGAAAGCATTCAATATGAAAAGATTCATTTTAATGAAGCATTTTTTAAAATCAACAGCTGCATGTTGGCATGATTTATGAGGTGTTAATGTGTGTGTAAGATACAAAGTTTTTCTTGTAAAAAGACCTAACACTACATGTACATCCTTTCTTTATTTTGTGCATTTGTACAAGTGTACCATAGGATACATAACAGTAGTATTGGACCTTTGGTTCATTTGCATATGATTTGCATAAAGATAGATAAAGTCACACAAAACAAACATTGCTGACAATGAAATTGGTAACTAATTTTGAAGAACCTCCTATTATGGCTGGGGTAACATGTTGGGTTATAATATTCAAGGTAATAAATATTTATAAATATAATATTCTTTTGCTTACTTTTACCAACTTTATCACGGTTGTCTCATTACAGGGTTTACATGCATCCATATCTTGGGGTTCCTTGGTGATTTGGAACACCTGGACTACCTAGTCCAACTAGGTGCCAACATCAATGCCCCAGATGGCAAAAGTGGCAGGACGGCTCTTCATTATGCTGTTGAGATGGGCAGCCTCATGCTCACCCATCACCTCGTCAATGTGTTGGATGCTGATGTGGATGCCATGACATATGACCTCTGCACACCTTTACACCTAGCTGTGGGCCGTCAGTTGAAAGCCATAGTAATGCTGCTCGTTGAGAGTAAGGCTGATACAGATGTTACCAACTTTGAAGGCGACAGGCCGTGTGATCTCTCTGATGACAGTCAGATCATGATGTACGTGAAGAAGCACCCTCATGATGACAATGAGATGATCTATTCTGACATCAGAATACAGGGACAGTAAAGAGTGAATTCCTCCATGGTTTTTCAGTCTTGACTAAACTGTGTATTAATTTATAAAATGCTTTCTTTTCAGAGGGTTGCTGTGCATGGAGGAAGCATTTGAGGATTCTTCCTGTGTATTTACCTGTAACTGAATGTACATTAATTAAGTTTGTATTAAAACTTCATTACAGTTTTCTGTACAGTTAGGTGTTAATTGCATTGAATAGACTGGCATTTGATTTTTCCTTAAACAGAACCTTTGTCTTTTCATTGAATCATGAGGAATCAGTACATTGAAGGACATGCTAGTTACAGTAGCATCATAGGCTAAAGTTGCTTCAAATAGCGATACAACAGTAGAAGATTCCTTGTAATTTATGCCAGGTTCAACTGCTTGATGTGGGCACACTTATTCCGTAGTAGTTAGCACAACTACTTTGCCATCCACTAACAGTAATGCTGTACAAACACTTTTCAAGACTCACCAACTCAGGCTTTTTGTCCTCACAGATAACTTGAGGTAACATTGCCCCTTTTTCCAAAGAAGGCTTTATGTCATAACATAAAAAAAGCCAGATTTTGGTCCATGATGTTAACTGCAAGGCTTGCTACCACAAACCTTGTTCTTAATGTGCCACCTTCACCATGAAAGTTTCCAAACTCATTATACATGATGCTCTAATTGATTACATAAGACAAAAAAACAAACTCTGTTGAAATCAGCAGTGCACCACCTGTAACCTAAAGTACACTTTCACATATTGGGAATTGAATCAGTAAAAAAGTAACAAACACAAAGTTTGAAAAAGGCCGGTGCTGTAATAATACAGCACATCTATTTCTATATAGACCGCTCTAAGCCATGCAAAGATGCAGTTTTGGTGTACATACCGGTATAAAGATACGTAATGGTGGTATGTAATGATATAAATGAATTGTATTCGTAATAAATAGATTTTGGGTTTTGCTTATATATGGCTCACTCTTAGTTTTCCTTTTCAGTCATTGACAAGTTAAGCATTGTTTTATATATATATATTAATTGAATTTGTTTCAAACTGTATAATTCTTAATTCATAGAAACTTTTTGGAAATTACATTGTACATGTCGATGTGGATTACTAGGAGACAGTGAGCTAGGAGTAGGTTTATGGTGTTAATCGTACAGCCTCATTCATGTACGTTTGATTGGAGTTTTACAAGTTTCTTGTACTGGAGGGAAGTCTGTCCAGAGTAATTTGAGAACCAAATTTAAGAATTCTTTATGAAAAAGATACAAGTGCGTATATTAGTGATTTAGATGTATACTAACCTGCAGTGTTAAGACATCAGACAGTAAAAGCAAAACTACTGCATGACAGTCGATCGCATACCTTGTATTTGACACAAAAAAAACAGTTTTCGTCTTGCTGTAATATGGAAAGCCTGCCGCATTTTGTTTAATTTTCACATAAATATGACAAGGAAAACAAGAAGCGAAACTGAAGGACCAAGTGGGTGTAATATTGAGAGCTGTCTGAGTCACAGGGATTTCCCTTGTAATTTTAAGCCCCAGTCTTCTGGTTGCATTTCCTCCTAAACCAGGTAGTTCCGAAATAATTGTCCTAGTTTTTGTTCCCTGCAAAGACAAATTTATATAGGTAATTTCGAAGGTTCTATGAAGTTAACTTGGCCATAAAGGTTCCAGTCATATCTAAAATTATTTCAAATGAAGTTGGCGTAAATTCATGTTGTATTTCTGTTAATCCACGAGTGTACAAATTAAAGTTGTAGGCCAATTGCATTAACACAAATCATTAATATCAGGAGAAGACTTATCGATAAGAATTAAGTAATTTAACGTTGTAATTTTTGTTCACAAGAGCTCATTGTTTTACCCATATATTATAATTTCTGTATCGTTAATCCGGTATAAATGGAGTTTTACTGCTTATTTTGTTCAGAAAAGTCGTATATTACATTTATTAAAGCACCAACATGCCCCTTGCACGTCCAAGTACAACAGCTGAGTTTTTCCTGGAGAAGAGCGCGATTCGAACTTCAATACACGTGACAGATATATTTATTGGTGCTAGTGCCACGTGTATTGGGTATTGATGAAATTGGCGTCGAGGACCTTTTTGTCGTTTAATAGCCGAGTGCCCACTGACAAATCTCCAAACGGAGCAATTCGAATTCCAAATGGATAGACACTGTACTGGGAGTCCTGGAAAGTGCTGAGATTTATGCTTAGTTTGCGATGTAAAAATGTTCATAACTGACGTTCTTTAGTATAATAAAGTCAATGGTGAGACAGTGTACGACTACATGTACATGTAGTTAGTGTAATTCTGTGTGAGGTTACTTGCCATTCAAGACCAGTGTTTCTTTCAGCACCAATTTTTCCAATGCATTTTACTAAAATAAATTATAATTATGACCTAACAGTGCTAGCAGAATCTTAAAATTCGTCAACTCTCTAGCCCTATCCGACCCTCTCTTCAAAGTATTTGCTGATGTTCTTTCTCAGGTAGAGTGAGTTTCACCATATTAATTCTACCTCTGTGGTTTCACCAACGCCATATGTAAATGTACCAACCTGTCCTTGGATCGACCTACGTGCCTTTTGTCACTACGTGTATTTTGCAAGTAGCAGGCAGGGGGTGTCGATTTTTAAAAAAATTAATTCCACGTACTCACCTTTTTGTTTCCAGGAATTTTGTATACGGTGTGTCTAAACAGCACGTGTTGGGTACTTTTGTTTAGCTGAATAGAGGTCAACAGAACGAAGTCGCAGCTTGCATGATGCAAATCCCTTACAAATTTCCCTGGAGCGATGACAACACAGTACATGAAAAAGGGAATGATCATTTCCGTCTTTCGCAGAAAAATGTTTCCCTTCCGTATTCTTATCAGTACATTATGTTTGGAGGACTATGATTGGTCGTGAATAGTTTAGGCGTGGATTTCTTTCAATTTGAATAACAACAACAATGTTGCAGACGATTTTCTTCGAGTATGGTCCGATATCTATTGCGCAATGGGTAAATGTGGGCCGTCTGGAAAACACCCATGCAAGAAAGGGGACCTTTTGACCTCAGATCGTTTCGAATTTTATTCCATAACTATTTCGAAATAATTTTAATTTTAAGCAAAATTTTATTTACCGTACTACACGCTGAAGATTAAGGAGATCCAACTTGAATAAAGGCTATAATCGTGGCTCTTGAGGGATTTTTTTCGAAGGGAAAGAAAGTCTAACCATCAGGGGAAGCTTCACGAGGCATGAAAACTAGTCTGCTCTCAAGAACTATAAGAAAATACATGATGTGTAGTTGTGTAATAAAATAGGCCGGTACGGTGAATTATGTAAAGGTAAGACATCCCTGATTGGTTTATTGTGCAAGCAAATACTTGTCAGAGCCTGTGTAGCAGGGCCAGAAATGAGTATGTTATCAAATGCACGTTTTACACAGAAGTACTTCCCCTTAAAAAAAATCATGTGTTTAGCTTCAGTTTGGAGTTCTTGATTTTTTAGCAGCCCCCCCCCCGTTTACTTGTTTAAGCCCCAGCTTCCCCTATACATAAATGTAGCCACATGGACTGGCCACACTTAATGTAGCAGATCAGCAGAGACTGGTCCACTTGACAAGTAGACCTATTGTTCCTCCTAACTGGAGTGTGGTTTTCTGCTTGAGCCCTAGTCTGCTACAAGTCAGTGATTGAAGTCTGAGTGTAAACTCATAAGGGCCATTTTACACGCTGGGTTGGTTTTGGTTTTTAGTCCTTTGAAATTTTTATTTATTCTTATGGTGTTAAGTCCTGTAGTCCTTTTGTTTTGTTTTTGTTTTTTTACATTTTTTCAGTGCTTTCTTATTAATAAATTCGTTTGTGTCCCCTTTGGAAGTCAAATATTTGTGTCTGAGTCCTTATTAACTCAGTTTCCTGCGAGTTTTCCCTCAACAATTCTTGGTTTAGTTGGAGTTTTTGTTTTGTGACTAGTAGTCCCCCATAGTGTGCCATTTTTCCCTCTTACACCGCCTGATATAATTTTTTTATAGCTTGAAACCCTACGGTTCAAAATTTCTGATTAAAGAATCTTCACATCAGTCACACAACATTATAATATTCTTATACGGAGAAGTTAATATGGGGAATTTTTCACTCAAACTCTGCATCATCATCGTTTGCGTCTCATGCCGTCAGCTCCGCCCATTCTTAAAGCGCGCCCTCTTGAGGTCATCTCTCTCTATTTGGCGCTGGCGCGTTTTCTTGACTCCTGGAATTCGGGTAACTGAATGAGAACTGTCTGTCTTTCAAGCACTTTTCTCCAGTAAACAGAGACAAAATGATGGCCACATCCATGGTAACCGAAGATGAACTGGTTCAGGAGTTCGAAGATTTTGACATTGAGCTCACCGATCCCGACGTAGTCGATAAATGTGGGTACTCTGCTGGTAGGCCTAATGTAATGATTAATGCAAGCCTAGGCCTATAAAATATAGCATAGAGGAAGGACACAGAAGGACTTGCAACACTGGCACTTCAAAGTGTTCTATGGTCGCCGCCAAGTCAGACGAATAATAGAAAACATTCCAAAAATGCCTGATCGCTGCCGCATCTTAGCCGGACAAGTGAGACCAGCAGTAATGCTAATATCCTAGCAAAAGGGCCTAGCTAGGGGACCTACTTGTATTTTTTTGCTTGCAATTAAAATTATACAAATTATTGTTGTGACCAGAAAATAGAGAAACATTCCTGATATTAGACCTACTTTTGGCATCATAAATATACTTTTAAAATTTTGATACATTGTTCCATTACCCATGCAAAGTTTGTAATTTTATTCTCCTCCCTCCAATACATCAGTGTTCAAAGACTTGGTACGAATTTGGCTAAGACTGGCCAACGTCAACAAAATGTTGACTTTTACTGGAAAGTTAAGTTCATAAGTAACAAAATGCGCTATTTCATCACAGGGAGTAGTCTTGGCCCAAGATGTCAGTGATCGATAGTTGTTTTATTTCTGTTGAAGAGTGCCCTCACACAACTAGTTTTTACTTACTCTCACTAACAGTGACTAACGTCTTGGGAATCTTGCAGGAATGGGTGTGTGGCAGTTGTATGCAAACGACTGATCTTAAATATTTATAGCCTTGGTATTATAATTATGTACATGTACTTTGAAGTTCGAACAACATGGCGGCTTCACGCGAGCAAGTACCCTGTCAATAGTGTCTGGTTTGTGGGAAGGGATTAGTGACATGTAAGACATATTTTCAACTCCATACTAGAAATGAAACTGCTACTCTTCTAAAAGATATCGTTGGGGACTACAGTTTTGCTGCATCACATCACGTTTGCGATGTTTGTGGCAGAAAAATTGGGAAAACAAAATCGCAAGAAATTCGTTCTCGTTTTTTTTGCAACTCACAATGAGCATGCTGCCTGAGGCCAAATTACTCACAAGTGGCAAATAAACCTAAACATGCAGCAAGAAAACGACAACCAACTTGCAGTCTAGGTACTCCGTCCTTGAAGATTAACCCTAACCCTCCTCAATCCTTCACCTGTTGGAGGACTGAGGAGTGTTAGGGTTAAGGTCTATATGGTCTCTAAGGACGTTTTAGTTAGCTTGGGAGGGCATACTGACGGTACATGATTATGGGTGAACAAGGACAGCATCCTCTGTCATAACCTAGGCCTAACCTAGTTTGAGTATCACCCGTTACTCCGTGCTAACTCTATACGAACGTCTGTGTTGTCGCGTCTGTGTTGACGGGACTGCAGACAGCCATGATGCATGTGACCTTACCATAGTGTATTATTGAGGTCATCAAAATTTATTATGCATGCAATTTAGCGAGTGCTGATAGGTTCCCTTGGAAAGCCGAGGGAAAAATAAAGAACAAGTTAAAACGCTGCTGCAAGATTCCCAAGACGTTAGTGCGAGCTGGCGCACAGTCTAATTGTGAGTGGTTAGGGGTGCACTATACACGGTGTCCGCTATCAAGCACTAACGTCTTGAAACAAGGAGTGATCATGAAATCTCATAAAATACTCCTTGTGCAAATGCCCTTATAAAAATGATTCAAACAAAACACAAAATATTGTGAACAACCACGCTATTTAGTCTCAAAATAACTCCAGAAGAAAGCGCTCATTAAGGGCAATGACTGCACATACAGATTTAGGGTATACAGCATAATGCAAGTAACTGCACAAGCATTAAATTTGATGTTGTCATGAGATCATATCAATCACCAACCAATGCATGAATATTCATTGTCCTATACCTCAGTGCACAAAGTTTTAAGGTTGTAGATTACATGTACCAGTGACAAATTGCGGCCGCGATCATAGGGTACAAAGTGGTTTCGTGGTTCTGAAACAGATGGTGCATAGCAAGCATTCGCTGCGCTCTGGCTATGGACATACTGGCCATGACAGAAAGCGGTAATTGGCAAGATGTTACAGTCTGGGCAGCTCAAACTCCTGTGTCCTTCCTCTGTGGTATTAGTAAGTTACCATTTTGCATGGTTATTTTGTGAGAATAAATGGGACTTAAAAAGAGTTCCATTGGGCCAACGGACAACATTGATTTTCCCTTAAGATGTTACAACAGCCGTCAGAAAGTTATAAAGTATTCTAAAATGTGAAATTTAGCCAAGAAAAATTTGAAGCATTTACTAAGAAAACACTTAATAATGTTGTGCGTGGTATAGGCCTACATTATTACATGGTATAGGCCAACATCATTACATGGTATAGGTCCGTCAGTTGCCAACGCCAGGTCCCTAATTTCGCCACCTTGGCCCTAGGTTTATTGTTAAGTTGATTGATTTTCACAGTAAGTGGCAAAATTGGAGACCTGGCGACTATATCATCATGCACTTTATGTGACTTGGTTTTTTTCAGACAGGTCTCATACTGGTTAGTAGTACACAGGGGCATCAAGTGTTGTATGTACATGTACATCTATACATGTAGGTCTATATGGCCATGGAACCCTTTCTTGGGATTTTTTCCATAAAATAACTTCAATAATTCTGTGAGTTGCACTATTACTAGGTGTGCATACAGAAAATATAAATGGACATAAAGCGTTGTACTCTTGTATGGCAGTGAGGTGTGACACAATCCATCAAGCCACTTTAGGAAAGTACACGTCGGCCTAAACAAAATGTGACATTATGTTTTACATGTAGGTCTCTTCTGGGCTGTTCTGCTATTCAGGATTATTATCATGTCGAATGCTTTTATTTTAGCCTATTATTATTATTAAACTTTTCTGGTAATGACACCAAGGATTCCTCAGAATTGCTCTAGGTACTGTAGCTCATAAGCCTGCAGAAACCTGCAGAAACCTGCAGACAGGAGATAATGAGAAGTTAAATTTAGAGATGGGAGGAAACCCCAGAAGAATGTTCTTGGCAAACCCACAGAATCTATCAGGTAGACACTGAAAACCCAATTCATACATGTATGTGGACTGAGCCGGGAATTGAACCCAGACTGCAGAAATGAAAGGTAAGGAAAGAACCAACTCACCAACTGATTCCCCTGATCATGACAGTGAACTACGGTAATTTGTATGCATCAGTTGTTACTGAGTGATTCTTGGACTTAAATTTCCCCTTCAAAGAATTGACTGGAGCCACGAATCAGAAAGCAGGTTTCTTTGATGAAAAGTAAGATTTGATTTAGAATAAAGCTGAAGGGATCCCATGTAAAGAGGTTTTGAAGGTTTATAGTGTCAACACAGATGGATAATGCTACTTTTCAATGTTTTAACCATAACCATTGAGCAACAATGCAGTAAGGCCTCATATGGTGCTAGTCTAATATCTGAGATCCATTCACTGATCTAACATTCCTACAATGCACAATTTGTTGATATTTATATGCACAATGAGCTATGTATTAAGCCAAGCATTAGCAAGAGGACTGTACA